CGGCCTGTTCTTCATCGTCATTTACAAGGTGGGTACTTTATCGTCCCGAGTCCCGATAAGCCGTGCTCGATCATCATGCTGACTGACCCCACCGCGCTGCAGGACTACACGATGGGCTTCAACCTCTCGGTCCTCTCGGCCGCCATTGGCGTCTCCCAGTTCTTCGTGCAGGTCATCGCGCTGCAGTGGATCTTCGCGTTCACCATCATGGCCGTGCTGTTCGTCGCTACTGTGGTGGTCGCGTGGCCCGCGGCGACGGGCGGCAAACAACGGGTGGGCGATGCCGAGAGAGCGCCTCTGCTACCTGACAACTAAGGAAGCCGATCGTCGTACCTCTTCACTGGGTACGGGGTCTATCAGGCTCGGATCTGTATCTCGATACGATATGGAACTTGAGATTGGCACGCGCATGCATGCGTGCATGTTCTTCACGGTATTCTTCTGACTTTAAAACGTTCAGATGGCAGGTAGCCGATTTGTAATGAGAAAAATGTGGAAATGATGAGGTTATGGAGGGAAGGGCATATGATTCGTCGGGTTCGTTAAGAAAGGGAAATACTACGTACGGCAGGTCGACGGATTCGACTTAGCTCCCACCTAGGCTGGGTACATGGCGATACCTACCAAGATAATGAGAGAATGAAAAGGGAACACTGTAAAACTGGTCCGCATTTGGCCTTGATTTGGAGAGGTTGGTGAGAAAATTGATGCTGTTCTTATTCAAGACCATATAATCTGTCAATATACGCCGATATGACGCCCGATTTCTATTTAATGTCGCCTCAAAAGGTGAGTTGGTGATGGAGAGGTACCGTGCGAACCAAGCTCGATGTGGGGTGGTGAATTTGCAAATCGATAAGAGACGCATCCCCAGATCATGTATACCTCTGCTCCCCATCGTGCACCGTGGGACGTGCTACCAACCAGATACAGCACAACCTACGCTACCCGATAAACATCGAAGATGACCGAAGACCGGCCGTGATCCCTTCCGAATCCCACACAGCGCCACAATGATGATACCCACCCCGAACCTGCCATTCACGATAGGCAACGACATCTGCCGCATCGCCAGGGTCAGACAGATCCTGGCCGGCGGGTTCGGCCGCCGATTCGTCCGCCGCATCCTGAGGAACGACGAGCTCCGACCCTCGACGACGGCGAACATCTTGCAGTGCGTTCTTGAGCCGACGACGGCGCCGCACGAGTCCCGAGACGCGCCTGGCCTCGCTAGGGCCGCTGAATTCATGGCTGGCAGGTGAGTGTGAGCGTGAGTGGGAGTGGGAGAGGAAGAGGGAAAATACAACGATAGAGAGAGATGGAGAGAGAGATAGTCCATTCCTCTCAATTGAATCTACATACCTATCCCCGAGAGCGCGCATAACCAAACTCGCCAACTCACTCAACTCACCCACTGATTAATCAACGCCCTCTCGTCCCAGGTTCGCCGCCAAAGAAGCCGTCATAAAGGCGCACCCGCACCGTCATTTATCCTTCTCGAGCATAGCCATCGTGCGAACGACCCGGCCGGCGAGCTCGGCGCCAGCGAACTCCTCAACCAACACATTGGAGGAGGTGGGAGAGCACCACCGCCAGACCACCCAGGATCAAGACGGGGCAGCCGGGGAGCCGACGAAGAGCGGCCCGCTCGTGGCCGTCATCCGGGCCTCTGGGGACGTGCGCCGCGATACGTACGCGTCCGTCAGCATCAGCCACGACACCGAGTACGCGACCGCCGTCTGCCTGGCCGTGAACCCGGCGGCGATGCCGGTTGCTGAGTAGGATGTGTGTGAAATGTGTGTTGGTTTTATTTCTCTAGGGCGGCGTCCCTGACGAGGGGCGACACGGTTACAAATTACCGGAACTTGGGAAACTTCTAAGTTGTTACAAGTGCTGCTTCGTCGTGGGCGAGCGATTGTGTCGATGCCTCACGCTCTTGTCGATCGGAGCTCCTTCCTACGTTGACCATGGTAGGGGACTTCTGCCCCTCAATTGCGGGTATGTCAATTACTTTCTATTGTAATATTCATACATTTCAGGACAGCTCGTCTTGCTGACATATTTCTTCACGTAGGGGTCCCCAATTGTTTGTTCTTCCGAGGCGAAGGTGCTGGTCGGCCCTCCTTGCTGTTGATACGGATGCCACCAAGGGCGTTTCCAATCCATCTACCTAACAGTGACGACCATACCAAGCACTGCCACTCTGCCGGGACATACCATTGCCACCCTGAAAAAACCACGTCTCGAATTATTTCGGCAAATTTGAGAATTGGAACCTCTGTCTCGTCGTAGCCAAGTCTGATTAGGGTGTCGGGCGAATCGTACATCATCGACATGGTGATGATTTTCGCACGCCAGAAGATGCAGTCGATATCGTTTTTCGAGGCGGGGTGGCCCGCTCGCTTTGGCTATTCACAATCATTCCAGTGCGTCAATAAACTCGTACCTTTCGGAGACTTCAGCGCTCACTGGAGAAAGTGAAGAACCAGCTTTTTATATCCTGGTATGCTATCAATCAGCTCGGGAACACGGATATACTCGTCCGGTCCATGTGCCACCAGGATTGATCCCGGCCCATATAGGACTCTCCTGCCACACAGCTCGTCGTTGAGCCGAGGCACATCAGTTCCGAAAGCCACGGGCGCGGCTTCGAAGCCGTCGATCTCCCAGTCGAGGAGCGCCTCGGGGTATTCGAAGACGAACTTCAGCTCCACGTCTGGGTACTTCGAGACAATTTCCCTCAACTTGGTTTTGATACCAGGCAAGTCGGAGACCATGCGGACCTCGCAGAGCGCCTTGGCCGACGGCGCGACAATGTTATGTTTCTCCCCGCCTTCTAGAGTCCCAATGTTGAAAGTGGAAGGACCAAGGAGATCAGATACGGGCCAGCTCGTGGTGGAGAGCTCATTTAACACGGTCAATAGTGTCGAGGTTGCGCTCTTGCCGAGATGGGGATACCCTGAATGGCTGGTTGGGGATTCGTCAATACGATGATTCCTCCGTTCGGTCGATAGACTGCTCCACCAACAGCGCTTCGCGGGACCAACACTTACCAGGCGACGCCCTGGGCGATGATTTCGAAGGCCACTTGTCCCTTATGCCCCTTGGCGAGCTTGTTTTGCGTGGGTTCGGCGAAGATGCCGGACTCCCAGGCCAATCCCAAATCATTTGCGGCAACCATTCCATGGCCACCGTTCTCCTCGCCCACCACAAACAATAGCCCGATGTCACCTCCTTCACGGATCTTCCCCTCCCTTCTTAGCTCCTCCACGGCTATGATTTGAGCCGCCAGCGGACCTAGATCATCGGAGGAGCCCCTGCCACGGATGATATCGCCATCGATGGTCAGCGGGATATGCGGGGGTACCGTATCCATGTGAGCCGAAACGAGCAACCGGGTCTTGCGGGATGAGCCGAGGTACGCGTAGACATTGTGACGCGTAGACCCCGGCGCGATGGGGATGCGCTCGACGGTGTAGCCCAGGCCTTGGAGATGCTGTTCTAGAAAGATGCCGATGTCGTACTCTAGCTCACTGGTGCTGACAATCGACATGAGAGACTTGAGAAGGTGGACCACCGGGTGGTCCATGATCGTAGATGCCATGGTGGGTAGTGGTAAAGAGAGAGGCCTAGGAGTGCGATTCTGGATATCTAGACTCCCGATTTTCTTCTCGTGCCCTCTCACGTTCTTATATGATACCCGTGTTCACGACGCTGGGATGACGTGTGAGCGGGGATTATCCTCGTCCCGGCGATGTCGCTCCTAGTAGTTTGCTTTAGATGTAGCGTAAATACTCTATACGGTGAGTTGCGAATAGGGGAAAACAAGATCACTTATGCCTGGGATACGAAAATATCCCGTTTCCTTCTTGTCCAAGGCGGTTTTCTCCAAGGGATTCGAGACACACCCTGGCCGGTTTCCCCCGCGGCACGCAATCACGAAATAGCATTCCGTACGTTTTACCCTACACATGACTCACGTAAACCCGCCTTTTTTGTCAGCCCGCATCGGCGCCCCGTCGAACCCCCCCTCACTCCCGAATCATCTCCGAGATTGCACAGGCAGGAGAGCATGGAGTTATAAGGCGGTTTATAAAGCGTACCCCGGGTCTCCATCGATTTTGTGCGCCGTTCCGTCACTTGACGGTCCTCGGGGCTTGGCGCCTTCGTCTCATTTCGTCTCATTCTCAACTCATTCATCCACCTGTGTTGTCAACCTACTTTACTCCGATTGATGCGACATGTCGAAACGCTTTGAGATTTCGAGGACATCTTGTACGTATGCATATTATATCCATTGCTGTTAACCCGTACAAGTCCCTCTCGAGTCCGTCCAGATTCAACGGAGATCAGTACTATCTATCTATTAACCCAAGTGCAATGCCGAGACAGGCGGGAGAGGAGTGAACGAATTATCGATCGAACCAATCAATTACCTAACATTAGGTAACCCAAAATATTAGCATGGAATCCTGCGCCTAGGTAACCTTAGTCTATTTAAGTGCCCGGAGAGATCTATCTAGGCCGTGAATGGAAGAAGACTCCTTCCCGTTTGTTCGCTAGGTTGATATCGACTTGTTCCAGTGGTAGGTAGGTAAACATTGTCGGTTGGGTAGTAGGTACTGTATGCTGTCGGACTCGGGGTTCAATGGTAGTCCGGGCGCCGCGGGCGGCGGCTTCTTCTTCCATTTAAAAGGTAGGTGAAATTGGATAAGTACTGAAGGTTAGCTGTCAATGGATTGTCTAATCTAGGTAGGTACCTTACCAGGTATTTATTTTACTCGTTGCTAGATAAAGGCCAAGTAAACAATTAGGCCTTTTGTTGTGCATCTAGGCTTTAGGCGCTGAGAATTAGGCATGTCAGTACGAAGTGCTCGAAAGTAAATACTTGGAAGTGCCTGGGTCAGGGATGAACGGACGAAGGATTTCACTCTTCGGCTTTCTGGAAATTAGGTTCATAGGGTTAGTAGGGGTGACCTCCGACATGCAATACCACGTGCGGCTGGGTGGCCTAATGGCTTAAGGCATCACTTTCCGGTTCTTAATGACTGAGACTGGTGAAGATTGCGGGTTCGAGTCCCGTCCTGGTCGATATCTTTTTGTCCCATTTTATTATACCCATGCCCTGTGTATATCTTTTCCTCTTCCCTATTATTTCAAAAAGATAGCTGAGTGATTCTTTGCGTGGCAAGGAAAAAGCTTTCCTGTCTTGCTGGGCCCCCTTGGCTTAACTAGGTACTGTACATCGGAGAAGCAAGCACCTGTGCTTGTACATGTATTCCCATAACATCTACCATTGAATTGCAAGCGCGGCTAAGCTACGCTCTTCACCTGATTAAGGGCGTATGTTCGCTCAAGTTTCTTTTTGCTCTGCTGTTTCTGTATCATAATCGTTTGCTTCGGCCGCTGCCTCAAGTTAGCCTCAAATGACTTTTGGTCGCGCAGTCGGTTTTGATGTCTCCCCAGTTGCAATGTGAATATCAAATGGCGGAGAAGGTTGTATTCTCATATGTCCTTGCGCTAGATATGCTCTTTCGAAAGCAGAGTCCACGATGGCACGCATGATACCCTTCACGGCCTGGACAAGACGGGAGAGAAAGGTGGTCTTATAGGTTTGTGGTGGTCTTATAGGTTTGTGGTGGTCTTATAGGTTTGTGGTGGTCTTATAGGTTTGTGGTGGTCTTATAGGTTTGTGGTGGTCGTTTGGTGGTAGGTGTGTCGGGGCTGAATTCTATCTATTCTTATCATCCTACTGTATCACGGAGAGAGCTGGTGACGGTTTCTAGTATCCCACCAATCTGGCTTGACGAAATATGGAGGCGATATTTCAGTGACGCGGTCCGGGATAGACTCAAATGGCACCCTTTTTATAGCGGTGTAAATCTTGAACAGCCGCCTGTCCAGATCGTTTTAGCAGTGCTAGCCTTTATCTACGGTCACGCTTAAGACAATGGATATTCAATCCTGGATTTGCTGAATCCGGTGCCCCTTGTCTAGAAATCTGGAATCAGCTTTGTTCTTTGGCTGAGAGCTAAACGCCATGCATGGCAATTACACAGCTCTGGCTTGCACATGGTATTTTCTTGTTCTATGACGAAATGGATATCGTCGTCTTCGCGGCGCAAGTGACTACGCGCTTGACATCAATCTTACTCGCTCCTCGCTAAACAGTCAACAAGCACGACAGGAATAACAGCAGATGACCGTGCAAGTCTAATGATGCTCTTTTTGCTTCAGATACTGGCGGTATTAGCAGTAGTGCTTATGCGCCTCGAAGTTGAGCGATGGTCACAGTTCCCAGGCCTACCTTCGGGTAGTGGAGGTTCCGCTTCCACAAATGGCATTTCAATAAGAACGACCACTGGGACCTCCACGCGTAGAAGCACCAGCACAAGCACGAGCAGGAGATCAGACGGAAAGGCGGTGACAGCTTGGACACCGATCGCGGAAACAACACCCGTAATATCTTTGTCGGAGATAACCGGCTCTCACAAGCCAAACACACCCTCCGACCAGGATCATACACCGATCTGCGATTTCCAGCGCCTCCACATCGGCGCCGCCCTTCTTCGGCCGCCGCTCGACATCGCGGCGAACCGGGACCTCGGAGAATGGCAGGCCGCGGCGCGCCAGCTCGGCGAGCTGCAGCGCCTGCTCGACGTCCACCGCGACGCGATCGCCGCGCGGGAGGGGACCCAGGAGCTCGAGCGATTCCGGCAGGATCTCGCGAACCTCGTCGAGAGACGGCTGCGGGACGGATGCGCGACGCTGCAGTATCTGCAGACCGAGCTGCTCGGATTCAGACACGGGACTGCCTCTCATTCATCCTCCAGAAATTCACGAGAAGGAGATAGAGGAAAAGGAAGTGGAGGAAGAGAAATAGGGGGAGATGACGAGCGCCGGACTGTCATGGCCGCTATATTGCTGGGCGTCGAGATCGAGGTCCTGAACAGCATACTCGCCTCGCCAGTCCGGGGTCTGCTGCCGGCGTGGGCGCGGCGGGCGCCGGAGCTGCAGAGTGAGCGGTGTCCGGATAGAGATTGCTTCCGGATCGGCGACGCGGCGATTGACATTGTGACATTTGAGATTCCGAATAAACTTCTAGACGATGTGCAGAGGCTGCGGCTGAGCCTGGGTGTTGGCGGATGGGAAGGCAAGATAGATCGGGGGCCGGTGGGGTTTGGAACACAGTACACCTGGATCTCGGAAGTATTTCTTACTGTCCAGGGGATGGCGATCTTGGGTTTGATTGTTTGTTTCGCTACGTTGAGTTATGTAGCTAGTAGTCGGCCAAGGAGGGAGAGGGAGACGGCGAGGGAGAATGATGGCTAAAGACTTGTGGCTCCAGTATTCCGACCAGGCCAGCTGTTCCAAGTATCATCACAAATGTGGACAGGCCCGGTGCCATTCAACCGTCAAATGAAGACAGCTGCGGTGTCGCGAAACGATAGGGAGAGTCAAGGCGCTCACACCTAGCCAACAGAGTATTGTCGTGGAGCGAGAACTGCGTGAGGGGCCCCGTGCGCTCGTGCTTAATCGTGGCGTCGCGAAAGAATCATAGCCCAGAAGCACGGGAAAATCAGGAGTTGCCTTGTCGCTGATTGGCGAAACTAAGATTCACACATAGATCTAAGATTTGAATACTGCATTGGCGAGACCCTTGAATGATATTCGCATACTGTGAATAGTACACCATTGGAGTTTAGTCCTCGTCCGCACATTGGTGCTTCGTGATATGATGTATATGAGCGACCATCAACCTCGAGCCCATAGCAGTCTGCGTACGAGCATTCAAGTAGGACGCGAAAATTGCCATGCGGATGGCCCGTAGGGAGACGTCGAGGTCGTCTCGTTCCTCTTATGGCGCAAACTGTACGAGCCGGCAACTCGGACCCCACAGATTTGTGATGCAACATGCCAGAGGTCTACGGGCGATGCCAATAAAACGTCAGTGAGTTTCATCAGCTTCCTTTCAATTACCGACGTGTATCCAAGTCCGGGTCGCCCAGATATGCCGGATCAAGCCGTAATCTATTCGAACGACTCTCTTCGCTCTGAATCCCGACATCTGGCCCGCCTCGACGGGGGATCACCTGGGTTCGCCCTTGTGGCCTCGTGCGCGATATCACCGGAGGTGAAGCAATCCATAGCTGCTCAAATACTAGCGACCCTAGGAAGTATCTTTGAAATCTTCCGTGGGAGTAGACTCTTGAGGACGGGAACGCTGGGCCTGCTCCGTTCGATAGGGCAGGGGAGGCGCCATAAGGCGCGCCTGGTAGCTTCGGTTGCCTGCTCCTTAAGACGGCGCGCCGTTTTCTCGCTTTTGGGAAAATGGGTTCGGGGTGGCGGCCGCTCAGCGCACGCTGAGAAGCTCATTGTGGTCGAGACTCCTGTGTCGTGGCTTCGCGACGATACGTTACGAACGAAAACGGCGTCGCGAGCATGGAGATACTGGATCTGCTTGATTTCGCCGTACTCAACAAAGTGCCTAGCGAAACCCCCCCCTTCCCAACTCTCTCCCCCCTCTCTCCTTGGTTTGGGTTATAGGCCACGGCGGAATTAGAGCATAACTTCAACTTCGTCGTTGAGCGGAATCGCTGTCTCCGATCTGGTCGTGGGGCGAGGTCTTCTGGCAGCTTTTTGTGATAGAGCACTCCGTCCGTTTGTCGTACCAGATGGTGAAGATGAAGCCCGATTGTGAGCTTCACGGCGTTATTATGTGTACAGGTGCTGAAGGTGGTATATTGAAGTGTGCTAACCTAGAAATATCGGCGAGTTCTCTGATACAGTGTGAATACTTTTAACCTATTCGCCTACGCATCGACTTCGGGCCCCCTCGTCAGCGCTACAAGTTCATAGGTAGATGGACGTGATATGGAATGCGAAAATCGCAATTGATAAAGCTCATCTGCAAGTATCTGTCATGCATCACCGGGTATTCCCGTGGCCCAATTGGGTTTGGATAGCCCTGTATTCCTCATCCCAATGGCCCTGTAGTGCTCCAATGCTGCCAGGGTCGTGTGTGAAGCTGGGCAGGGTAGCCAAGAAATGTGGTGATATGCACAGTAATTCTTGCATGGGTCGACTTGCCTATCAGGCTATCAGTACCACCACAGCTTGATGGCTTTCCGATCTATTATCTAGGTAGTCTGCCTGACTGCAGAGCTGAAACCTGGGGGGCGAGGCGATTGAGGGCTGATAGAACACACAAAACTCCGAGGCTGGTTGGTCTTATACCGTAGGTATACGTTATTAGATAGCTTATCTTATTGGCCTTTGCTTCGTACGAGGAAGGGTGTTACACCTGACACCAATATTATGATGAAAACTCGCCGCCGGACAAATCATTGGCACCATGTCGGCGGCGTTGCGTTTATTCTCAATCCGATTAATGGTGAATGGTGTATGCGTCGTGGGCATCCAAAACCGCGGGTCGCACGAGGTCTTGTAGACTCTATTCACATTCCTAGCTCAATTGGTTTTAGGCATTATATATCAAACTTGATAGCTTTCTATACCTGTTCGAGCTTGAAATATGTAAACCCGCACATTAAGACGTGTAAGGGCTGTGTGCATAGTGCCGGAGACGCCAAATATTGCTCAACTGGGCCTCAGCCGTAATTGGAAACATTTATTACAAACTCAATTTGTTTCCGCGCTCGTCAATCTGGCTGCCAGCTCAAGTGGAAGTTCTAGCCTGTGAGTGACGAGAACAGAGCACATTGCAGTGTACTGCTGCGCTTCGCCTTCGACACGTGAAGTAAGTATTGTAAGTAAAGTAAAGTAGCGGACGCTAGTGAGGTGTAGGATTGTATAATGCAGTTCGCCAAGGATATGGAAATAAAGGACCTCGCATCGCCGGAGAGCCACAATAAAATAAACGCCGAGTAAGACGAACACGTAGGCCTTGTCTTGTCTGTCTGTCTGTCCACATCCTCCTTCCTTCGGACATGCGAAGATCGGTCGACTCGGTTCTGTTCTAGCGCCATCGAATATACCGCGCGCTACCCCGTGGCGTGATCATCACATCGAATGAATCCATCGCGTCGCGTGAAAGCAGTACGATATAGTTGCGGTGTGCGGTAAGATGT